TGTTCTCCCTCACGAACACCGTGTACTCGGGCTGCGCGAACGCGGGCGCGTTGTCGTTCACGTCGGCCACCTCCACCGACACGCTGGCCGTGGCCCACAGCGGGGGCGAGCCCTGGTCTCTCGCAGTCACCACCAGAGCATAGTTCGACACGCTCTCGCGGTCCAAGGCGCTGTCCAGCACAAGCGAGTAGTAATTTTTGAAGGTGGACACCAGCTTGAAAGGGACATGGGGTGATAGCGAACAGGTCACCTGTCCGTTGACGCCAGAGTCGCGATCGGACACGCTGATTAGGGCGATGACAGTGCCCACCTGAGCATCCTCTCGCACCGGGAGCGACAGAGATGTGATGGTAATCTCTGGGACGTTATCATTTATATCTAGCATTTCCACCAAAACGGTACAGTGACCCGCCGTTGGGATATTCCCCTTGTCAACTGCTTCTACAGATATTTCATACAATTTGGTCTCTTCGAAATCCAATTTGCCTTTTGTCCTAATCTCTCCTTTTTCGGGATTTATAAAAAATGCATGCAACACTGCAGGCGATACAGGTCTTCTAAATGAGTAGATTATGTCTCCATTTGCACCATCATCGGGATCTGTGGCATTAAGCTTGATCACTAATGTTCCATTAACGGCATTCTCTAACAGTCTTACTTTGTAAATAAATTGCTCAAATTCTGGGGCGTTGTCATTTACATCCAGAACTGTGATCCGCAGCTGAACCGTGCCAGTCAGCTGGGGTTTACCGCCATCACTGGCTGTCAGTAATAAACTATGTTCCTGAACTTCCTCTCTGTCCAATGATTTCCTCAACACAAGTGATAACGAAGAGGTTTGTTCACGATTACTTTGGGTGTCCAAAGCGAAATAATCGTTGGGATCTAATCGGTAGGTCAAGGCTGAGTTTACTCCAGTATCTGCATCGGATGCGCCATCTAGTGGAAACCGAGTTTCGGGAGGTCTAGATTCCGCAATGATTATTCTCTTCTCACTTTCAGGGAACACAGGGGGGTTATCGTTAATGTCCTTCACCTCCACCTCCACGTGGAAAACCTGCAGCGGTCTTTCCACGATCACCTCCAGGTGGAGGCTACACTCGGCGCTCCGCCCGCACAGCTCCTCCCGGTCGATCCGAGAATTCACAAACAAAATGCCATTCTGCAGGTTTACCTCCAGAAGGTCCCCGCGGCCTTTGGACGCCACCCGGAACAGGCGGGGCACCAGGTCGGCCAGCTCCAGCCCCAGGTCCTGGGCGATGCGGCCCACGAAGGTGCCGTGTTTGGCCTCCTCGGGGACCGAGTAGCGGACCTGGCCGCTCCCCGCCTCCCAGGCTGAGAGGAGCAGAAGGGAGAGCAGCAGACACCTGATACCTGGGCCTTCTGGCCAGGAAAACTGCATGGTACACTCAAAGGGTCCAGAGATACCTGAAGTATATAAAATACCTTACCTCAAGCTGCCTCTCAAGGTTCAATTCTACGTTCTTCTACTGTAGAAGGATTCGCTTGATAATTTCCCACTGTCTGCCAAATTTTCTGCAGGATAAAGCGGATGCTCTTTATTCCGTTAACGTTCTCAGTGAAGAGCGACACCAAGCGTACGAAAGGGGAAGTGTAAAAATGACTCAGTCTTCATATTTTCCATTGATGTAGTATTTTTTCTTGTATTTTCTGACGTTTTCGCAGCAAGTTCTTAATTGAAGATTAAGTCTTTCTTTCCATAAAGATCAAATCACTACATTCATATTAACAGTGGATGTTGGTTGACAAATGATTGATGACTGCCATTTTCTACAAATATATATGTTTTTGCACGTGTAAAATTTCCAGAATTTTAAAAGATGGGGAATATTCGACATTTGTTTTTGGAAAACATTCTCTAGCTCTGCAGAGCCTTTGAGGTTTTTGCGTTAAATGTCTTTCCTGTTATATCTTTGAGATCTGTTCACACAACATTGATGCCAATTGGAAGTATAACTAATCATACAAGAATAAGATGGGATGGATTTTTCAAATACTAGTAATATGCCATATTTTTAAAAACATGCTATATTTATAACCTCCCCAAATATTACTATGAAATGTGAACAAGTATTTGTTCTTAAAGTTTCCAATGAGTGTATCCGCTTGCATCTTTGTATATCATGTATGAGAATAAACTCATAACAATTTAAGCCATTTAAGTATGATGCTGTTTTACAGTTTTGGGTTCTCTTTGTATGTATTTGATAGAATGTAAATTGCTACCAGTTAGGTACTACTTCTCCCCATCTTACAGCAGGAAAACTCTTACTATCATTTGAATTGATTGCCCAAGCAACAAGTCCACCTAGACGTTAACACTGATCAATAGAAATGAAGAAAGAAAAGGAATCCTAATTATCTATTTTCACAAACTATCATCACCAACCCACAATGTTCCAGGCCAAATAGCACAATGAAAGATACAGAGAGGTTCAATGATTCTCTTGCCAGTTTTTGTACTTGGGTTGACTTGGTATTTGATATTATACCCATCCTTTTCTACTCCTCTGCGTTTATTAATATAGCATTACTTTTTAGTGAAGTAATGTTGCATTCAAACGCCATACAATAGCTTTATTCTAAGTATAATCCCTTTGTTCTTTTCTGTTCTGGACTATCAGATCGCCACTAGACTACATACTCAACCATTTAAAATATACACTTCCAAATTCTCTTAAAGCTGTCACCTACTTATATTACTTTTCTAAGACTGGCTTCAGCTTCAACACATAGCCTACCCATTTCTCCATTCCTTTTATTGAGTTCTCTGTGCAAAATAGTCATTTAACCACAATAATGATATTCTCTACAAATTTACTCACATTTACCTCAATTGACTCCTACAAGGAATTCATAATTAACTCTTCCCTCTTCCCTACAGAGATTTTTTCAGATTTTCTTCCTTCTCTTTTCTAACATTTCCTCCACCACCTGGTTCTAAAGATGATTTACCCAGAGAGGCAAGTCATGAATTAAACCATTAAGCCACTTTCTCACGTCAATGTTTTTTCTTTATTTTCTCTATTTTTCATTCCCAAAAAACCAGCCCCCACTTTCAAGACCAACCCTGTGCTCTTAAATATCATTATCCATTCTCTCCACCTTCACTTTTTTAGTCTTTATTCTTTCTCTGCCCATTTCATCTTACCACATCTCCTTATTTGTAATACTATAATTTGTAATACTATATAAATGTATGTTGTTATATTTAAACTGATTGTTCTGTTTATCTTCTCTTCCCTCTAACTTCTTTTTTTCTTAAAGATTTGTTTATTTATGCATACAGAACTGGGGGTACAGACTGAGATGTTGGGGTGGTGAGAGGATTCACCAGAGACAGTGGGAAGTGGGACAGGCAGATTGACAAAGTATACTGCTGAGGGGAGCAGCAGGCTTGTCAGGAGTCTGCTGAGCCACAAGGCTCACCTCAGCAGGGCTGGGAATGAAACTCACACTGAATAGGTTGAGCTGCTTGCAGTGCTGTGCTTTAACCCACTGCACCACCAGGTAGAGCCCATTCTCTCTAACTGCTGACACTACTTGATAGATTGCATTTTGAGCTGTCTGTTATCTAACTTCCTTATGATTTTAAGCCTACTCAAGTAAAACAAATGGTGGTGCCTGAAAAGATATCCCCACATGTAAACCCCTGGAACTATGAATATATTTATATAGCAAAAGATGTGATTAAACTAAGGCTCTTGAGAGGAGGCGCTTAGCCTGGATTATACAGGAGGAGTCTAAAGTGCATCCACAGGAATCGCTATAAAACCGAGGTATGGAGAGGGCTCTGTGTCCAGTAAGAGCAGGCAAAGTGACCACAGAAACAGAGACTGGAATACTGTGGCCATGAGCCAAGGGCACTGGCAGCCATTAGAAGCTGGAAGAGACAACAGATTATCTCCTAGAGCTCCAGAAGGAGGAAACACTTTGATGTTAAACTTCTGTTCTCCAAAATTGTGAGAGAATAATTTTTTGTTATCACAAACCAAACAGTTCTTGGTAATTAGAGCAGCATCAGGAACTAATACACCTACATACCTAAATTCTTCAAGTGGACACACTGCTTCTCATTTTTTCATCCCTCTCCATGATTTTATCCCTTCACAGATTCCTCCCCCCCCCTCAGGTAATTATTCCCAGAGTAGCATCTATGAACCTCTCCTGACTCGCCCTCTGCTCCCCTCAGATCCATATTTCCATATAATTGTATTCTCCTAGACACTCAAGACAAACATCCTCTTAAATGTTCCTCTCTATTCTCTTGCTACAGAAACACAAATTGTTCATATAACTCAATCCCTCATCTTGGCCAATGGCAATCTCATCCTCCTAGGTGACCAAACTAAAAATATTAGCACTGTCTCTACTTCTATCTTTTTCTCATCATTTGTATTCAGTCAGTTCCTGGTTGCTTTTACACTGCCAGTGTCTTTCACAAATGTTTCTTTCAATTAATTTATACTGCCATAATTTCAGTCCATTACTGAAAATCTAATGTATAAAAGATTTTTACCTTGAGAATATCCCCTATTCTAATTCCTTGAGAACATAGACACAAGGCAAATTACTTATACTTCTTTCTCCATCTATATTAACTTATTGCTAAAATGATATCTGCCCTCCACGCACTCTTCAAAAATAACATTACCTCATCTCTAAAGTCCACTTATCACATAGAAGGCATCATCCAGGAAGTAAATTTTGATGCTATGTATTTACTCAAAATTATTAATTTAATATATGCTATATCCCATGTTCTAAACTAAAGATATGTGAGTAGTAGGCAAAGTGTAATACCTTCAATACCTCACTGAGGGATTTAAAGATTTATTCTTTGACTGAACATAAACCTCTGTGTATTTTTGTGGAAAAAAACACAAAAATGTGTGCACTATCACTTCAGAAGATTCACCTGATAGTAGTCTCAAGACAGTAGCAAGCACGTGGATGTGTAATCCTCCAAAGGTTTCTCACGATAATGGAGAAACTGATAAATATTGTAAAATAATACTGTACCTGCCACATATAGGGCAGATACTAGAATGAAACTGAGATAAAAACAAAGATCATAACACAGGTTCTGCAAAGTAATAAAGGGTCAATAAGTATTCTTATGTTGAATAAAAATTATGCAATAAAATGGAAGGTGCACCATTATTTCCATGCTACCAAAAAAGACAAATTATTGTAAATAATCAATTACAATATTGCTTACCTATAACATCATTAAGGTAGATTTATATGATGATTTTTTATAATTTATAAAATAGTTCAAGTTGATTTAGATGGATATTATAATATTTTAGGTGTGAAATTATTTTATTATAGTTTATATAGCAAAAGAGAGTAACTATTCCACTTGAAAGAAAGAAGTCATTCACTGTGAATAATAGAAGTTATTTGTCTTAAAATTAATAACAATTTGCATTGTTGTTATTATGCTAGAGAAAGGAGATTTATCTGACATTGGAGTGGTGATCAAGAAAACAGTTTTATAAGTTAATTCACAGAAGAACAGAAAAGGAAGCCAGTTAACTTCCACTTAACACATAGATAGTTAACATCCATTAATCTGGTTATCTAGTTATCAGTTAATGGTATTCAGGAACTCTTCAATAAATTGCAAGTTTCTGTTGCCATGAAATTAGCATCAAATTAAATATAAATTTATCAAGTACATAGACTGTATATATTCTAGCACTAAAATTTCTCAAGACTGGGCATCCCTGGTGGCTCAGCCTGGTAAAGCACAGCACTAAGAAGCTAAAGCCACTTTAGCATGAGTTTGACCCCCCTCCCTGGAGGTGACCCACATGGTGTGGCAGACCTCTCCTGACCCGCCCTCAGCAGTGTACTTCGTGGATCGGCCTGCTCTACTCCCCACTCTGTCTCCGGTGAAGCCTCTCAAAGCTCCCACAACTCTGGTCTGGACCCCAGTTGTGTAAGCATAAACAAACAAACAAACAAATAAATAAATAAATCTTTTTAAAAAATTTCTCGACACTAATATTCATAGATAGGAAAAAAAGATAGAACAATAAGATTTTAAAGTGTGGTATCCACTTGATCTATATCTCATTCATTCGTGTTGGGTGAACTCAAAAAAACTGAAAATGACTGAATGGGCGAAATGATCTACAGGAAAGTGAAGAAAAGACATACAAATGTACTAGGAAAGCATTTGAAGGAAAAAATATACTTTGATATAAATGACTTACTTCACTGGCAGAATGTAGACACTCTTCTGTCTGTGAAACACAAGGGCTGAAGGCCATGAGGTCAGCCTTGGGCGGCCCTTCTCCCGAGCACACCCGCGGCCGCCTCTGCTGCGAGCACGACCAGCTCCCCAC